TGCTGAGGAAGGAGAAGCTTCCCTGGGTCTGGTTGAGTCCGGGCAGCAGGTATTCTGTCCAGACCGTCCTACTGTTCTTTTGTCTGGAATTGAAGGCTTTTGCTTTTGCTGCCTGAAGCGATTCTCTGAGAAAGGGTGGGATTCGGGAGCTGTAAGTCTTTCCTTTGTGAAGAGGAGCAGGGTAGCGGGGGTGGGGTCAGAAAGGAGAGGAGGCAGAGCTCAGCACCCAAAGCGGACGATGACACAAATGCACAAATGCTGTCCCTGGAAGTCCTGGCACTCCCAGGGAGGACCAGCTGCCCTGGGGAGAAGTTCAGTGGGACTCTTTCCTTCCTCTCAGGTTTTTGACTTTGAATTGACTCCAGAGGACATGAAAGCGATCAACGGCCTCGACAGAAATTTCCGATACTCTCGATTGCTGTTGTAAGTGACCCTCACAGATTGTTTCATGGTTGTTTTCCACAGCAAGTAGGTTCACAGAGGAATGAAGCTTCCTACATCAGAAAGACAGGCCTGATATGGGGAGTAAGAAAGAAAGAGGATCTGCCCGTAACCCTCAGACCAGAGGTTTACTCCTGGCTCAGGCTGAGCACAAAGATGTGCACACAAACACACCTAAGGAAATGACTATTAAGCACCTCTCAAGAGTTGACCCTAGAAAATGATTAAAAAGTTAAAATTTAAAAGTATATTATTATTTTTAATTTTCCCATTGGCAAGTTTTTATATGTCTTCTTTCTTTACTTTCTAATGAGAATATGCAGTCCTGAGCAGATGCAATCCTGACGAGTGTGCAATAGAAAAGGCAGAGTGGTATGCTGCCTAGTGGAGTGTCAGTGATTAACAGCTGTTGGGCATCATTTTGCAATACGCATCCAGAGTGTCAGAGTTCATTGTATCTTTCACCTATTATACAACTTTTGGAAACTATAGTTATGTAAGTACCCCAAACTGCAGACAAATATTTTACATAATTCATGATCCTGTTCGACATTATTCATAACAGAAAAAAGATTGAAAACATTTTAAATTACCGTAGATCTGGGAGTAGTTGGGTAACCTTTGAGGCATTGATACAATGAAATATTATGAAGTAATTAAAAATGGAAGTTATGTATATTGTATTAAAGAAAAATTTCCAGATATCATACTAAGGGCTTTTTAATGTGTTAAGTGAAAAAAAAGGTACATATTGGTTATAATCAGTTATGTCATGTGGTCATAAATTTGAATTTTAAAATGAAGGAAAGATTGCTAACTGATCGTAGTCATTATTTCTGGAAAGTGAGACTATGGGTGATTATTAAATGTCCTATCACTGCTTTTCAAAGTCTTCCAGAATTAGTGTGCACCACTTTTGTTGTCTGATAAGTGTTTACTTACAAAAAGAAATGATATCTGCCCTGAAAACTAAATAGAATGGAATTTCTGTCAGCCGTGCACCTCTCTAAACTCTACCTCGAACTGCCTTTGCCCAATGCCACAGACCAACTTGTCATCTTCTGGTTCCTCAAGTCAAGGCTGTTCCTCAGGTGTCAACTTTGTCAATCAAAAGGCTCCCTCTGAGGAACCTCTTTGTCCATTGTCCTTGGGTTATTCATAAACAGGACGTTCTATGTGTTTAACTCGGGCGGGATCTCAGGTTGAGGAGGATGAGGACCAATCAGACTGTGACAAGTTCAGAAGGGAGTTAGACAGGATGAGAAATAAAATTTTAATGATAGGAATAAAGATTCAGTCTATAAAGAAACATCTCAAATATTCCTTTCTTTTTGTAAAACTATGCCAGGATTCTGACGAAATATATTCAAATGAGAAAAAGGTGGGAAGTCACTTTTCTCTACCCAGTGTGAGTCTATGATCTGCGTCATCAGACTGAATCCCTCATCTTTGTGGACCTGTGTCTATAACACAGCTCTTGGCACAAAGAACTGCTCAGAGTATACTCTAATGACATTCAGTTGAAAAGGACAAATTATTTTTTAAAAATAAAAGAAAATACAGTGGGATAAAGAAAAACAAACAGTAATATTCATTACTGAATAA